GTGATGGGAAATCCCGTCCACATTTGGTTCAGGAGTGCTCGTTGGGGGCCCTTGTTGGGAGAGGTCTTTTGGAACAGGGAAAGTTGTCCCTTCATCCATACCCTCCTTGGTTTCCTGGGACCAACTGGATGCACATCACAGGCTTGCTATCCGACCTGTGAAAGTGAGAGGACAGCTTGCTGGGCCCAGTGTGGTCACTTCTGTTTGCCTCCACGGGGCAGGCTGTGCAGGCAATGAGCAGTCAGTCAGTCTATCTGCTCTGTTCTGACCCATCTGAAGATAAACCGGTTAAGCCTGATGATTGCGTGCGAGTCATTGGCAAGCGCTTCTGTGTGTCTGCAGCCAGACTCCTCCCTCTCTAACTCCAGCTTGACATTTGTCAGGCGTCTGGGTAGAAGTTTTGCCAAATGTAGCTGAACTTCCCTTACCATTCGGTCATAGGGAGACCACGTGTGGTTGTGTGGTGCCAAGTTGGAAAGCAGGTCTAGTCAATTCCATCAATTAGATGATTGACTATCTCTTGCCAAGTAACGAACGGCCCTACAGTGAAGCCGTTTGAAACAACAAACCTTGTCTCGCACAGGTTCTAAGGATCGGGAATCTGGGAACAGCGGAGCTGGATGATTCGAGTTCAAGAATTTTCAGGAGATTGCAGTCAAGCAAAGGCTGCAGTCATATCAAAGCTCAAATAGGCTGGAGGGTGTGCTGCTAAGCCCTTTCAAATGATCATTAAACCAACCCAGACTCATTGCCATTGAGTCAATTTTGACTCAAAGCAACCCTATAGGACAGGGTAGGACTCCTCATGTGGCATTCTGGGACTGTCACTCTTTACAGGGATAGAAAGCCTCCTCTTTCCCCCTTGGAGCATCTGGTGGTTTTGAACTGCAGACTATGGTAAGCAGCTCAGTGTGTAACCACTATGCCATCGTGCCTCCTGTGGACCATTGGCAGGCTTTAATTCCCTGATGGTTATTGGCTAGGGGCTTCAGTTCCTTACAACAGGGGCCTCTCCCTAGCAGCCGTTTCCCCTCAGAACAAGCACGCGATGAAAGAGACCGAGAGAAGCTGGCACGTCTTTTATAAGCTAAGTTCAGAAGTCATCGTCACGACTTCTGCCACTTTCTATTAGTCACAGGGTCCAGCCCGGCTGCCACGTAGAAGAGGAACCACCCAAGGGTGTAATTACAAGAGGGGTGATCACCAGGGCCACGCGGGAGCTGACTGCCATGAGGACTTACACTGCAAATCATCTATGAGAGACCTGAGCCATATAGTTTTCCCATTCCTTCAAGCAAGCAGCATTTTGAGAAGCTTACGAGTTCTGGGCATGGTGTGCTGAGATTCAGAGACCGCAGAATGCAGTATGATCAGATGTGATAAGTCCTGGGATGAGGGACATTCAAGGCTATGGGATCTTACATGGAAAGTCAGACTGGCCTTGTGGAGTAAAAGGCAAAGTGATATTCAAAAATCCGCTCAATGGCTAAGCGGTTGGGAGAGTGTGTGGGATAGGGAATTGAGGCCAGCCCACGGCCTACAGCATCTGTCCTGCCACACATGCCCTATTCCTTTCTGCTGACCTGCAGGGACAAGCCCTGACACAGACTTCTGACCATGGTCTAGCCTCAAGAATTGAGGCTGCATGGACAAGGGAACAACTAGGGAATTAAAATCAACAAGGAGGAGGATGCAGAGATCCTGGGGGTGTGGGAGCAACAGCAATCTAGCTGAGAGAAATTACTAAGATGTAGAAGAAGGGCAAGTGTGATGGTGGGACAGGAGGAAGGTAAAAGGAAACAGAGGAAAGATCTAGGAAGCAAAGCTATGGATAGAGGTATAAACATAGGTGTATACATAGGTACACACATTAATTCATAAAAATTGAGGTATTAGTATATGCATGTATATTTATATGGCAATACATTGAGGAAGTGGATGGACTTTGGGCCTCTGCTCAAACCCTCCCTCAACGCAAGAACACTTTGTTCTAATAACCTGGCATTCTGTGCTGCTCACCTCATTGACATGATTGCTGAAGACAAAAATGGGTGCAAAAGCAAATATGGTGAAGAAAGCTGATGGTGCCCAGCTATCAAAAGATAGAGCATCTGGGGTCTTAAAGGCTTGAAGTTAAACAGGAGGCCGTCTAGTAGAGAAGCAACAGCCAATATGGAAGAAGCACACCAGCCTGTGTGATCATGAGGTGTCCCTGGGATTGGGTAACAGGCATCAGAAGATCACAAACAAACAAACAAACCATCTTGTTGAGAATGAGGTGGGTTGGAGCAGAGCCCCCAAACCCATCTGTAGACAATAGGACATCCCTTCACAGAAAGGTCACAAGAAGGGATGAATCTACTAGTGTGCTGTATAGCACTGACGAAACACACACTATTCCTCTGGTTTTTTGAGGCTTCCTCACCCCCCACTATCATGACCCCAGTTCTGTCTTTCAGTTCTGGCTAGATAGGAGCTTGTACACTGGTACAGATAAGTGCTCATGACACACGAATCCAGGTCAGAAACCTCCCCGCCCCCCGCCCCCCAGGAACAGAAATGGGAGTTGCAGTACTAGTTGTGTAGGGGGAAGGTGGGAGGAGAAGGGGAAGAAAGGGGAACTGATTGCAATAATTGATGATAACCATCCCCTGTCCCCAGGGGGAGGAACAACATAATCATGGGCGAAGGGAGACAGCAGTTGGTGTAAGATATGAAAATAATAATAATTTATAACTTATCAAGGGATCATAGGGTGAGAGGGCTGGGGGAGGAGGGGAAAAGAAGAGCTCAATAGAAAGTAAATGTTTAGAAAAAGATGATGGCAACATATATATAAATATGCTTCATATCATTGATGTACTGAATGTTATAAGAGCTGTAAGAGCCCCAATAAAATGATCTTTTAAAAAAAGAATTGAGGCTGAAAACAGGAACCATATGTAGATTTTCTGCATAAAACAACTAAACAAACACAGTCCCTTATAGAAAAGGAAAGATTAGGTGTTGGCTGGTCTGATTAGCTGCAGCCGTTGGTTGGAGTCTCTACCTGACTGCTGTCATCAGTTCCGCCACCACCTGGAGACAAGATCAAAGTTGCCCAGTCCATGTGAGGCCAGCCTAACCTGTTGGACAAGGAGCTGCTTTGGTCCTGTGGGAAAGAGCAGTGCTCCGGGTCTCCCAGCAGCACACTGAGAGAACTGTCCCATCAAGCCCCGGGCGGGATGGCACCAGGAGGAAGTCAGCCTTCCTTCGCCTCATGACAGTAACACGCAAACACAAACACAAAGGCAGTGGCAGTCAAGCCCACTCGGTCTCGTTGCAGCTCAGAGTAGAAGTGCACTCAGCTGGGTTTTCATGGCTGCGGCTTTGCCGAAGCAAATTGCCAGACCTTTCTTCCAAGGTGCCTCTCCATGGGTTAGAACTACCAACCTTTTGGTTGGAAGCTGAATGCTTCATCGTTTAGTCACCCAGGGACTCCAAAATCAACATACCAATCCAAACACCCAACCCTATTGCTGCTGAGCCTATTCCAACTCACAGTGGCCTTCGAGAGCAGAGTTTTAGAGCAAGTTCTAACCTCAGATGGTTTCCAAGGCTGTGAATCCTATTTTTTAACTTGATCTCTAGTTAGTATATCGATTAATCCAATTGTTCAGTCCTATCAAGAAGGGCAGTGCCATGATCAGCACCATCGACTTTGCAGTTTTCCCCCTGCTTTCACACATGGGTGTTGATTCCCATTTCTTGCCCCATCTCTCCCCCTGCCCAAGGCCATCAGCAACCCCCTTACTGTCCTGCTCGGTCCATCAATCCCACTTTCCCTATACTGAGAAGTTTCTTTCCAAGACTAGGCTGACACCAACAAGGATCCACCAACAATGGCCACACAAGACCGACAGAGACCTGCGTCCAATAGAAAGCAGAGGAACATGAAAAGCTGAGGGTAAATTCACATCAATTCCACAGCGAGGTTATATTACAAGAAGTATGTCAAGACTGTCAGTCTTTATGGAAGCAGATCGGCAGATCTTTCTCCCACAGAGCGGCTGGCAGTTTTGAATTGCTGGCCCATCTGTGAGAAGCCAAATACTTCTAATATCAATAATAATAACAATAAATATTTTAAAAGACCACTGCCATTGGGTTCATTTCCAAGGCTTGGATCATTTTTGTAAAGGCTTTGTCAATCTTTACGGGACCAGAGAGCCTCAATTTTCCCACACAGGAGTGGCCCGTGGGCTAACCCTTTAATAGTGTTAATGACTAAACTCTGCAGTATACAGATGAGGAAACGGAGGCTCACTGGGGGCCGGG